CACCACAACTCAAAAAATGCTTAGTAGCCTCTATGCGGCTAGGGGTGTTCACTATTCGGTTAAAACCGAAATACCGAATCGAACCGAATCGAATTAACAATTTCGGTTTGGTTTTTTAAAAAAACCGAAATTATTTCGATTTGGTTCGGTTTTTTTTTCAAATTCGGTTTCCACCGAAAACCGAATTAGTTTTTTTTTTTTAACACATACTCAAACTCTTTTTAAAAAAAAAATCAAAGAGGCACCTATGGGTTTAACTAAAAGAACAATAACTTAAATGATTTTTTTTTACTTAAAATATAAATATTTTTCATTAATTATTTATTGAAATAAAAAATAATTGATTATATTATATTGAATCACAAAAAAATAAAAAATAAAAGACTATGATAAAGAAATTCTTTACGAAAACACAAATTTATAGGTGAATCCTAAAACCTCATGAAAAAAAAAAAATTGTTGTCCTTGTATTAAAATTGGGACAAACATAAATTAAAAATTGAATTTTTCATATTATATATTCAACAATAAAATATGCACAAAATAAATAGAGTAAAAAAAGAATATGAAAAATTAATAAAAAACCAATTATAGCGTGATTGAAAAAATAATGAGAAGCCCAACTAATTTAGTTTATAATATAAATAGAAACATATTTATTATAAAAAATAATAATAATCATACATAATTTTCTTATAAAATCAAATATGAAATATGCAATCTTTGATTATGCAAGTTTGATCTTTTTTAAAAGCAAAATAATTCGATTTTTAGAAGAAAAATGCAAAAAAAAAAAAAAAATCGGTTTTTAATCGAAAACTAAAAAACCGAATCGAAAACATTTGGTTTTTAACCGAAAAACCAAACAACAATTCGGTTCGATTTCGGTTTTTGTTTTAGCCAATTTGGTTAACCGAAAATAAAAAAAACACCGAAACCGAACCGAAAAACTTAATGAACACCACTATATGCTCGCACGTGGATGAGCCCTTATGAAGCCGAACCATCACGAGTGCTCCACCACCGACGCTCTTCATAGTGCGTATATGACTCTTAATTTCACCAAGCAATTGTCCTAAGCTCTAAATTTCTTTCGATGATCAATGGGAAGGTTCCTCTTGTCGGATAAATGCGATCATTTTGTCTTTATTTTTTTTCAATTTGAAATTTAGAGATGAATAATCGCCGTTTATATTTATTGTATTGTTTTTAATAAATAGTTTATTGCTCATGTTTAAGAGTACGCAAACGATTTGATTAATCGAAAAAACGAATCGAATCGAATCGAATTATATATTTCGATTCAATTTTAAAATTAAATTTATAAAATTTAAAACCGAAAATAAATATCAAAATTATTTATGTTTGGTTCAATTTTTGAAAAAAAAACGATTTCAACCGAAAACCGAAAAAAAAAAACCATCCTATTCACATTCAAAAATTCTCCCTCCAATCATTCATTAGTTATTGCACCTGAATTGTCAAGTTTTTATTGTCTTGGACTAAACTTATACTTCAAGCAATTACAGGGATCAAATTAACAAATTCAAGCCAAATTGCTCAAACCTATGAGATTCTATTGTAATTTTAACACCCAATTCAGACTTGTCCGAAGCCAAATATGCACTCCTTTCTCTCGTACTATATTAATTTTCAACTATTTATTAAAATATTATTTATTGTGTTATTTAAAAAATAACTTAAAATTTTACGTATTTTGAAAATAGAGATGTAATTAATTAGTTAATTTGTGATGAGATTGAAAAGTTTTTTTTTTTTTACCGCAAAATATTTTAGTTGAAATCCATTTTTTTCGAAACCGAACCGAAATAATTCAGTTTTAAATTGAATTTATCAAACTTATTTTAAGTTTGAGTTCAATTTTTATTTTTCTTAATTCGATGAATTGAAAACTGAACCATTTAACCGTTTGCTCACCTATATTTACGTTACTCGTTTTATATTTATATTTTAATGTTCAATTGTATGAATGACTTGTCAAAATTCAATTGGAAAAAAATTGAGTATTTATACTAACATTGATTTAGAATTATTCTAAATATCAAAACCAACAAAAAATCTTATTCATTGATTACAAAATTTCAAAAATTTTGTTTTTTACCTTAAATACTCAAACCTAAATATCACAAGATTTTAAGAATTAAAGTGAAAATTCAATTCATTAACTTGAATTTTTTATTATAACAATCAAGTCTTTTAGGCAAGATATTTTTCACTTAAATAACTTGAAGACAAGCAAGGCAAGATATTTTTCACTTAAATAACTTGAAGACAAGCAATTGAAAATTCTTAATTTTCTTTTATAGTTTTCAAGTATGTTATACTTGATTATTTTTGGATTATGTCAAAACACCATCAAATTAAATACCAAAAGATGTATACTAAATGAAATGATTAGAGAAAAATATAGTAAATAAGAATAGCATTTAGTTTTTGTTGGTGTGATATAAGGAAAAAGCTTGGAAACTCACTCTCCCAACACTTTATTGATGTAGTAAAAATTAAATGATTAAAGGTTTAAAATATTTTTTACTGTTTCAAATGTCTTAATTGTGTCACTTTACTAAATATTTCAATTATCGTGTCCCTCTATTCTTAATTGCATCTTTATTTAGTCCTTGTGATTACTTTTTCGGACAACGGAGACAAGTTTTAGCATTTTGTTATTTTTGTCTCCGTTGTCCGAAAAAGTGATCGAAGAGAACAAAGACAGACACAATTAATAGTAGATGGATACGATTGTTGAAAAATTTAATATAGAGACATGATTAAGATATTTGAAACAAGTAAACAAATATTTTAAACATTTAACCTAAAAAATAAATAATATCAATGGAAGTTTTTGGGATTTGCATGTTTTGCTGTTCCAAAAGTTGTAATCCGATGCCTGCCAAAGACCATATACTCATTCCTATGGCTTGGAGCGTATCACCCACCATTGAAAGATGAGAGTGGAGATTTGGTAATACCCTGAATATTCAAGAATGAAGTGAAGCAGTATGAGATGTTCAAAAAAGAAAATGATCCAAAAAGATATTGAAAATAATAATAATTAAAAAAATCAATTAAACTTGAGAGAATTTGAAAAAAAAATCTAATCATTTAAATAAATAATTTTGAGATTTTTATATATACAAAATACTTTTTAAATAAATATATTTATCTCATGCTTTTGATCTAAAAGTAAATGATTACTTTTAAGTTTCTTGAACTAACTGCGTGTTTGGATAGGGTGGAAAAAGAAGGAGAGGAAAAAAATTAGGAAGGAAAGAAAAGTTTTCTTTGTTTGTTTTGGGGAGGAAACATGTGAAAAGAAAAAAATAATAAACAAACTTATAACTAACGAGACCTATTTTTCTCTCAAAATTAGGAGGAAACTCGGGAGAAAAAATAAAGGGTTAAACTTATATAACGGAATTGCCCTTTCTCCAATACTTGGAGTCAACGAGAACTTAATTTCTGTATTTTATTATAATTATTTAATTAGTTTTTATAGCATAAAAAATAATTAAATAATCCTTTCACTAACCTTAATTATCTTAAATTTAATAGTATCTTCCGGTTCCAATAATAACATCTAACTCGTTATCAAATTTCTCATTTTACCTATTTTTCGTTTATTTTGCTTTCAAAAACCTAATAAATGAAAAAGAACATAGGGTTGGATTGAGTTATAAATGGATCTAAGATTGTGCGGATGAATTTATAAGTTTTGAAATTACGAAAACCGATTAACTCGATTAGCTTAAACTACAAAAACTTTGTTATAATTAAGTCCCAATATATATATATATATTTGACGATAAGGATTATGTTCAAGACAATTTATGGAAGACTATATCTCTTTTTAAAACTCGTGTCAAAAATATATCTCCACGTCACCATAGTAATTTAGGAATAAAATTTTCTGAATAAAGATAACAGGGTTTAAATTCAAAAGTCAAAAGAACTCCTAATATGATGCTAGATAGATCTCCACTCTCTATTTTACATTTGAACAGCTTTTTCTACATAGAAATAGTTTCCATGTATAATTTTATAAACTTCCAAAAAATACATTTTTTTCCCTAAAAGATTGGACACAATTATTTTTATAACATATCATTTTTTATCTTATTAATAAGTGCATCTTTTAGAGACGATTTATTATCCATCTTGTCATTTCGGATAGATGCTACATGTTATTTTTTTATTATTATGATTTATACAATTTTAATGAAAAAAATATTTATACAAATTTATTATAATTATTTAAATATAAAAATATAATTATAGAGGTATTATAGTAAATATATAATAATATATTTTCTTTTCTTTCTATTTTCATAATTATCCAAACAAAAAAATTTTTTTTTCTATTTTTATCCAAATAACAAGTGAAAAAATATATATATTTTTTACTTTCGTTTCTCTCTTTTCTTTCCTCAAGAGGGAATATCCAAACAAAGGGTGAGACAACGTGGATATAAAAAATAAAAAAAACCAGGGTCAAGAGATTAAAAGCTATTTATACCTCCTGTTTGGACATTGCCTATTGCTACTATTACTTCGCCCTCCCATAAGAACAGAGTGAAAAAACTTCTGCAGAAACAGGAGGCTGAGAAGAAAGCCTTGAGAAAGAGAACTAAATCCTTTCCTTAACCTTCACGCCTTCGTCACACCATTCTTCTCTCTCTATCTCTGTCTCTGCTAACATTAACTCTCCATCTCTTCTCTATATTTTTCTCTCTCCACCTCTCACTTCTCATAAAAACTTCTGTTTTCTATGCATTAAAACTCTCAGTCTCACACACACTCCACCTCTGATTCTCTTCTCCTTAACTCTTTTCTTATCAAACTCCCCCAAAGAACCCTTCTACTCTCTTTAAATTCCCATTTTCTGAGAGGGTGAAAACAGAGCAAAAACAGTCATTGTAGGTGCTGGAACAAAAGAAGTAATCTTTTTAAGTTTCTTTCTTGTTTTTCTTGGGATTTCCAACATGGGTTCTTGTAAAGAACAAGAACAAGGGTTTAATCATGCAAAGTGTTTTGAGGTTCTTGGACCTATCATTGTAGGTGCTGGACCATCTGGTTTAGCAGCCGCAGCTTGCCTTTCTCAACAAGGCGTACCTTCTCTGATTCTTGAAAAAAGTGATTGCATAGCGTCGCTGTGGCAACGAAAAACCTACGATCGCTTAAAACTTCACCTTCCTAAACAGTTTTGTGAGCTCCCACTTCTTGGTTTCCCTGATAATTTCCCTAAGTACCCTACAAAAGGCCAATTCATTTCATACATGGAGGCTTATGCTTCGCATTTCAAAATCCGGCCTAAATTCAACCAAACTGTCAAAAAGACAGAATTTGACGACACTAATGGGGTTTGGAGGCTACAAACGCAAGACCTTGAGTACCGTTCTAGATGGCTTATTGTTGCTACTGGTGAGAATGCTGAGCCTGTAATACCTGAAATACCTGGTTATCACAAGTTTAACGGTACTATTCTGCATACAAGTCATTACAAGTCTGGTTCTAGGTTCAAGAACCAAAGGGTCTTGGTTATCGGGTGTGGCAATTCAGGGATGGAAGTTAGCTTAGACCTTTGTAGGCACAATGCAATCCCTCATATGGTTGTTAGAAACACAGTAAGTTATCCAATTTCATGTTTCGTTTCAGTTTCCAAAGAAATTAGTATTCTTGTACATTATATTGTTGGGTTCTGATGATGATTTTAGATTTGGTATGTTTGGTTTTTGATTATTTGTGTCTTATTTTGTTGATACAGGTGCATGTTCTACCTAGAGAGATGGTTGGGATCTCAACCTTTGGAATAGCCATGGCACTTCTAAAGTGGTTACCTTTAAGATTAGTCGACAAGTTTTTACTTCTAGTAGCCAATTTCATCTTAGGCAACACAGACCAATTAGGCCTCAAACGACCAAAAACAGGCCCAATTGAGCTCAAGAATGTCACTGGAAAGACACCAGTGTTGGATGTTGGTGCATTATCACAAATTAAGTGTGGCAAAATTAAGGTAAAATTAAGCACATCCAAACAAATTAACCCTTATTTATTTTTTTTTAATTCACATTTTTTGTGCATGTGTGTTACTACTTTTTTGCAATACCTTTAGCCTTTTAGCTAATGTTGTTAAGATTTCAGGTGATGAAAGGTGTGAAGGAGATAACAAAAAACGGGGTCAAATTTATGGATGGACAAGAAAAGGAATTTGAGTCTATAATCTTAGCAACAGGGTACAAAAGCAATGTGCCTACTTGGCTCAAGGTAAGCATCATATATACGACTTGTTTTGCATTACTCTTATTTTAGTTTTACTTTTTATCTTATTATGAATCATCCATCCCTTTCTGCCTTGGACGCATGCATATACAGAGGGCAGACACCTACAAATCTCTTCTTTTCTCCATGCAAAAAAGAGTAAAATCAGTTAGGGTCTGCTTCAAGTCATTATAATTTTTATAATACACCCAAAAAATTGCAATTTTCTTTGTGGGGTTTTATGTAATGCCGCTATCATGACATAATATTATTCGTTTTGCTGAATGAACGTAGAGAATTGTCCTTTCTAGTAAGATTTTAACGTACGTGTCTCATTATTAATTCGTGGGGATAATCAAATATTAATTTGTGCTATGGATAATGCAGGGATGTGATTTTTTCACGAAAGATGGTATGCCCAAAACACCTTTTCCTAACAGCTGGAAAGGAGAAAATGGACTATACACGGTTGGCTTTACAAGAAGAGGTCTTCTAGGAACAGCCTCTGATGCTGTTAAAATTGCAGAGGACATAGCTGATCAATTGAAGACAATCAAGGGCAAAAATAAATCTTGTAGTAATTCCCATGTTATCATACTTAGAAAATCATGATCGATTAGGCAAATAAGACGAGGAAGGGGAGGAAATTTGGGGTAAATTTTCAAAGATTCAGTTTCTAGATGGGAGATTAATTCATTGTTATCCTAGGAGGACTAGTTTTCAATTCTTCTTTTTCTTTCTTGTAAATGCACCAATTTTGTATCGGAGGTTCATCTCCACTTGTCTTTTGTATCTCTTTCTAAACGCAAGTACAAAATGATGTCCAAAGTAGAATGTATCTTGAATTTCCAAAATATTTTGACATGGATTTTGTTCTTCTTTTTGAGTATATTATATCATTCTTCAACATATCACTCATGTTACTCAAAATGTTCTTTCTTTAATTGGTTAAATTTATTTCAAAATACATTTAGTTGCACGTGTATTTGCCAGCTAGCTAGTAGGTTTTTAAGAAAATTAAGAGCTTCAGGGCTGCAGCTACCTTCTTGCTCACAGTGCCAGCAGCTTTCCATAAAAGCTGCATCAATGGCGGTCCTCCAAACGAGATTGCTATCTGCACAAGTCAAAAAATTTAGCAGCAAGGAATAATCAAAATTCTAATATCTAGCGTTTTCTCCCATTGTCATCATTGCGTTGAATGCATTCCTATCCAAAAAGCATGCAACAATCTCTCCATATAACTAACAAATGTGCTCAGCAGAATATATTATGGTCATCAAAATATCATATAACTCAGAAATCAAATGGTGCATGAAAAGTAAAATCCATTGTTAAACTCATCTAGTACTTGTTTTCTGAAGTTATAATTAAATTGAAATATGAGAAAACTCCTTTCATCTCGAATAATACTAATTTTATAGATGTTTTTTTTTTTCTGAAATCATAATTTCTCACAAAAATAAAAATAAAAATAAAATCAGCTACTGGATCACGGGGTTCAACGCTTCTAGCTTGTTTGCATTAAATTATTGTGGAAAGTAAACTTATAAAGAATACTTGTTAAGTTTAGACCTCCTATAGGCTATATATGACCAGGAAGTAGGCTATCATGTGGAGATTCTGAATTGTTGGCCGTGAAATTGAGCATCGTCATTTGTTGATAAGAGTGTCTTAGACCAAACTTGAAGAAAGGCAAAATACCTAATACCTTTGAACGCAATTCCATCCAACCCATGTGAAAAAGTTCGTAAGGAAATTGAAGATTTATGCTTGTTTTCATCACGAGTTTCTATATTAAGAGCAGCTTTTGTGGAAGTGTTGATATAAGTTTATGGTTTTTTTTCTTGGCAAGTTCTAACATGGTGCACTTTGGACTTTGGACGTTAAGGGTAAGCCTTGAACTTCACATTAACCCATCTCTGTCTTTTGCCTAAAATTAGCTTTGTCTCAGTATCAGATATACGAACATTTCATGTGTCTGCTCTTGGTGTTTTGCCCATCAAACGGTTGTTTGTCTCCTTTACTATGCATATTGCAAGTTGGATGGTCAATACGATTCATAAAATAACACGTGTCACCATATAATTAACTGGACCAGATGGGCTGGATTGACTCTTATTTTATTGACCCTTATCAATTTAACGAGATTTTTCTAATGTAAAATTCATATTTACGTAGACAAAATTTATATTGTCAAATTAATGACAACAATAAAATAAAGAATGATAAGAGTAAAAAATTAGAGAAAGATGTTAGAGAGAGTTGGAGAGAGATAAAAAACTGAATTGTATTTTTTTCTTTCACTCAACACACCTATTTATAGGTGAATGTTACACAAAAGTCTAGATTAAAGATTTAATGAGAAATAAATACATACATTATTAAAAATAATAATGAAGGGTATATTCATGTATATTTATTCATTACATGAATGATACATTCATGTATGCGGATATTTATTTATTATATATCCAATACACCATTAGAAGTTAAATAAATAATCATATATAAGAAAAAAAATTAAATCAGTTTTTTAAAATTTCCTCATCCACGTAATAAATTACATGAAAATATATAAGGAAAAATACCATTAGAAGTTAAATAAATAATCATATACAAGCAAAAAAAAAAAATTAGTTTTTTAAATTTTTTTCAATTTTCAAAGTGGAAAATAATTTTTAAATTCACAAAATGAACACATTTTCTATATTCTTTACACAAAATAAAAACTGGAAATTGAAAATAAAAAACTAAAGATAGAAAATCAAAAACTATTCTCTAAAACTAAACAACCCCTTGATAAATAAATATGTAGTGAAATGCATGCATCTTTTTTCATGTACGTGGTGTAAGTAAAGCTGTTTTGATATCTTTTGATGACTGTGTTTGTTTTCGGTCTTTTCTCTTGTCAGCCATTTCCATTTTGGCTTTCTAATCCGTATGGTTAATTTTTCATGGTAGAGTATTGTTAAACAAGGGTTGATTTATAGATCAAATTCAAAGTTTAATAATTGTGATTAATATTTTTTTAAATTTTTTTTTAGAATGTCTAAGATCATACTTTTAAGAGTGCTTCTTAATCTTGTTTAAGAAAGAATTAATCTTCATGTGTACGAAAATTGATCCAAAAATACTCAAAAAAAATATATATATATATATATATATATATATATATATACACATATGTACGTTGATCACATATGTATATATATAAAAAGGACAGTTTCTGGTATGGTGGTTCTTGGATTTAGTTCCGGAGAATATTGAGGTTATGCAGTGAACACGTAACCAAGCTTGGAGTATTGATACTAGGTGACGCTGTCCAATCCTTGTTTTCCAATCACAAAAATGATGGAACAAGTTATTGATCAATAAAATGCAAGAGCCAACAGCCATGCTAATAATGCTAGCTATCTCCTCCACTTTATAAGCTTTATTTGTGATTCCATATCCTCGTCATTTTTATACTTGAATCTGTTAGGTATAGTTTGGTAATCAAATGAAAAGTTCAAAAGAAAATACAATAATTGAAATGAAAATTAAGGAATGAAATGATATTTTTATTCTAATATTATATTTGAACTAATAAAAAAATATAGAATGAAACTTAATATTTTTAATATCTAGTTTTTTAAATAAATAAAAATATTGATTATAAAATAATTTAATCAACTATGATAGCAAGTAAAAATTATAGAAGTGACTGCAGCGATAGTTGAGTTGGAGAAAGAAAAGGAAGAAAAAATGATAGTAATAATAATAGCAATAATATATTTTAGAACAATTAATGTCATCATCATCCATGGAGATAAGAGTACAAGAAGATTGGTAAGAGTAGCATAATAAAGATGTTAATGGTAATGATAGAGTGGTGATAAAATAATAATAATAATTACTTCTAATTTATTTTTTATTACCATCATCAATGGTTGTGATGGTGGTGTCGATGGTGGAGGTGATAATGATGGTAGAAGTAGTTGATACAAAATAAATAAAAATAATATATTCTTATTTTGAAAAAAATAAAATTCATACCTATTTTTTATTTTTATTTCCACCTCCTTATGAAAATCACATTATATATGTTTAATTTTTATTTTCATTCTCACTTCATTTCTTATAAGTAAATACCTACAAAGTATGAATAAAATGTCCCTTTTTTTATTTTCATCATTTCATTTCATGTTACTAAACAACACCTTATAGCAAAAAATTAATTGTTTGCATTTTTCAAAACCAGGAATACTTTCAACTTCGCGCATATAAAAGCTTTATGTTTCAATTCAAGTGAAAAGACAAAAATGACAATGACAATGGACTAAATATGGTTCAAAATTTTCTTATTTAGTGTTGATTATATGGATTAATTCATCAAAGTTGATTATTATGGACCATACTTTTGTAAAATCCATTAATTCTCATACTTTACAATACGTTTTATAGGTGATAGTTATACTAAAAAACAACACATAATGATAAGCATAGGTTAGGTACAACGGACTAACACCATATAACTAAGGACGATAAGCTAAAGTATAAGAGAAATAGAAAGAGATAGAAGAGATGAAGTCATATCCTAATCACTCTCCTATAAGTTGTACAGGATTTGAAAGAATGGGTAACTTAGTTCGTAAATGTTAAAACCGAGTTTTGGATAATGGTTTTGTAAGAATTTGTGTAATATGATCACTCGGTCGGCAAGTAAATAATAGGTGCATAATTTACGCAACCTTTATATCCTTTTACATTAAACTTATTAGTGTCTTTTATGTTATATTAAAATAAATAAGAATAAGTTAACGATTTTGTATTTTTATAGAAAAATGAGGAATCAAAGTGAAGAAACTCAAATCAAAACTACTAAGGAAGCAAAGAAGTCACACAGTCGTCGACGTACAAGAGAAAAAAGCTATTGATTATGTGAAATAAAGAAGAAAACCATGTGGATGTTCAGCAAAAAGACACATAGGCAATGGCAATCAACATAGTTTGAGCAAGAAAAGTGATACGCCTATGTGGATGTCAAGGCTAAGATGTCTCTTAAGGAAAAGAAAAAGACACACGAGTAGAAATTGAAGGACACGGGATGAAAAGAAAATTAGGTCTGGTCGTGTACCTCAATCTAGCAAATCACGTGCCATCAGCTCTCTAAGGTTCCAAACCATGTGAAATAAAAGAGTAAGCCATGTGTCCATGTTAAGCTATCATGTGTATGATGTAACCCTACTTTGTACTATAAATAGAAAAGTTAGGGTTCATTTTAGGAATTCTTCTATTCTTGTAGCCACCATAGATTAAAAAATTCTCTCTTGTAAGCAAATGATGTATCAGTAAGAATCTTCCTAGATTGAAGAAAAAGTTGAAGCTTTTGGAGTAACTTGTTGTGAGATCTAAATGAGTTTTATCTCTAATCCTATTCTTTTGAGTATTTTATGTTTTTCTATGTTATTTGAATATGATTATGTGGTTGATTGATGATTAAAGGGCATGCTAGTTAGTTAAACATTTTAATCTATTGTTATCTAAGTGTTCAAGTCTCGTAGTTGTTTGTCTAAACTTGCTTGTGGATGGGTTTTCGTTTAATCTCTTGAAAAATATAAAACTAGATTAAA